GGGGGAGAGGTCAGGCAGGTATTAAATACAGAATGTGCAGACTGGCAGCAGGAAGCAGGGAGCTGTGCAGAAAACCCACTGTGAAGGTGTTCCCTTGATGAAGTGCTCCTGCTGGAACATTTTGGAGTTCAGCCATCCAAGCACATTACAAAAGAGTAAAATCAAAAGGTGTTGCCCTCTCTTCAGTCCTTCAGAGTCTCTCCACTACTGAGTAATAACTAGCATGGGACATGCACATTCTTCATTCTACTGTTTTCTTACCTCATGCTCATCTTAGAAACAATACTCCTGCATACACAATTATATGTTTAAAAGTCAAGGGACTAGCTGGTCCAGCTGAACATGTGTAATTAACCTTTGTTTAACTGCAAAAGCTATAGGAAACCTCTTAATGTTTTTGGTTGATTTATATGTTGCAACAGTTTTCTCAGTCTCTCCTGGGCCCAGACATCTAGCCCACAAATATGTGTGGCTAATAGGACACAGCAAATTTTTTCCAACCATTCTTTCATGGGTTTTTTTTCATACTGTTAAACATTTGTAATAGTTTCCTCATTTTGTCCTGAAGTGAAGAATAAAATTCCTAGATGCTACATGTAAGAGAAACTCATGCTCAACTTCTTTGAGACTCCCAAGGACTGAGAATTCAGCTCACCACCAGTACCTATGGATCTTTTAGAAAGTTTTTGCTTTTAAAATATATGTAAAATCTACAACTCTGACTCACAAAATGAAACAAACAAAAAATAATTCAGCAACACTGAAACTGTTTGCTGCAAAGACCAGACCAAATCAGAGAGCCACCACACATCTGTAAGGCTCTGGTTCTCAGTTGGTATTGCTGACACTTCTTGAACAAGAAGTGCTGGCCAGTACAGGGACTGGCAGAACTGGAAATTTTGTGCAATTACAATAGGTTTATATGAAATAATCAAGGCTCTGTGAATCTAACTTATTCTCCTGGAGAAAGTACTAGTAGTTGTACAATTACTAATGAGACTCAAATGCTACTTTTGCATAGTTTAAAGCAAGAAGATGGAGCTGATGCATGAGACTTCTCCCACTGGGAATAGTACCAATTTGTGCATATTCAGATTTACACTTGATAAGACAACTTCTGTGTTTGATAAGACAATTTCTGCATTTAGACATCATAAAGCTTACCCCAAAAGAAGACATGTCCAGTGTCTTTTGGGAAATATTTCCTTGAATGAGTCTGGACAAGATATTTGAAATGCAGCTTTGGAAGCTGGCAAAGATAACGTGCATAGAGCCCAAGCTGGCCGGCAGGGAAATAGTTTAAAAGCAGGATGCTGATGATTAGACTGACAAATGACGTTTTAATCTGGGTAAACAGACACCGCCTATTCTCTGCAAAAAACCCCTGAGTAACGTTGGTCAGGAATAGGAACAAAGGCTTCATTGTCCTTAGGGAACATTGCCAGCTTCTGAACAGCAGTTTGCTTTTCTAAATGATGTTTGAAAATTTACTTTAGACATGATTACCCTACCTGTCCTTGAAACACTAACCATATTTCAGCTATGATTTCAACAGATCCTACAGAGGAATATGTGAAACCTGCTGTTCTCACTGGTAAATGGTCAAATGCTGGTGAAGTATTCTCCTGTGATGGGAAAATTTCAAGCCCTCAGGTGTGATTTTCATTGATTTAGGATTAATCCCTGCAGAGTGCTCAACTGGATTACAAATCTAGGAAGGATATAGGCTCTAGTTTACAGCCGCTTGAGAAATAGTTAGAGAACAGATATTTTACAGTACTCCCATATTTAGAGTAACTAGATTGAATAAAACATGCATTAAAAAATTAGAGACCTATCTATTTGTTTTGATTTCTACCAAGTACTCGCTTGGCCCTAAATTAACATTTATGTTAAATCTTATGCTCTCCATCTCCAGGGGCAGGAAGCAGGAAGCAGGAAGACAGCACTTAATAGCACAACATTTGAGTGATTCACAGTTAAGAACTCATGTGGGACAGTGAAAGAAAAAACCCAACAAAAAATCCAAGGTTTTAAAGGTGCAGGGAATGCACATTAATTCCCAAGTCTTTTTTACCAGTTCTTTGACAGAGGAGGAAGAGTCAAAACCTTGACTCCCTGAGACCATGCAGGGTCCAGCTCTGTTGGGGAACACTGAAAGCACAGGGTGGAACTGGGAAGTAGCAGCACGAGAAGGCTGATATGGTTCTTTAGGTGACTGAAGCTATTGACAGAGCTCCTTTCCTTGCAGCCACCTAGAATTCTATCCTAGGAGGGGAATGAGAATGTGCCGAGGAGTTGCTGGAAGCCAGGTTAGAAATTCAAAGAAGCAAACCAGCCTTTTTGACTTCAAGATGCCAAAGTGATGTGTTCAGACACATCACAGTTTGGTGGTGTACCACTGAAGAACAGTACTGCAAACTTACACACCTACTCAAGTAAAGCTGAGTTTACATGAAATAAATAAGCTGCTCACCGCAACTTTTGATGTAACAAACACTCCCGTGAAACTCCCATCTCTATTCAGATACAAATTTGAAACTCTACTGCCATGAAGTCATCTTTCTAAGACTGTTCACCTCTGTGCAAAAATGAAAAATAAGACAGTGACTTCAGCAACGCTCAGAAGACAGTTGGAAAGCTCTTGTTCCTTTCCAGACCACATTGCTACAAGTAATTCCCTCTTCCCGAGGAAAAATTTTTCATACTTCTTTAGCACAACTGGCTGCTGGAATCACAACTGGCTGGAGGCCAGTCCATCTGTCCATCCTACCAAACTGAGAAGTATTTTAAGCACTAAGTGATAAAACCTGCCTCCAACTCTTGCTTCGAAGTGATCGGCTTTAGGCTGACTCTAAAACCTGCTGTAAGTCAGCAAGTTTACTGCAGACAGGTCTGTCTGTCTGTCTGTGGGATCATACACGGCCTTCAGCTCCCGTTGGTACCATGTACTCCTCAAACAGCACTTTGCAGATCAGGTGGTGCAACCACTGACAGAAAAAGGAAACTAAAAAGGAGAAAGGATAGGAATGTTTAAAAGACAAATCACACCTCCGAAGAAGGGAACACCTGAGCTATGCAAAAGAATTGACACTTTCTTATCCCCACAGGTGTGTAACACAGAAGTGGATGATGTTTTGGTCAGTACAGTGCAGACTCTAAAACCTGAGGCTTCAGCCTCCCAAAATAAAAGAAAGCTTACAGAAGAGCATTTCTGGGGGAGGAAGAAAAAAGCGGACTGTACTGGTCGTGTAGTATCACAACAAAGGAGCAGCATTATACACAACAGAACAGGGGCTGAAGATGTCTGAAAAGGAGGAGAGGAGAGTGTGTGGGGCACAGCTCAAAACCACATCAGGTCCAAATTAAAGTGTTAACAAAAACAAACACAGAATTAGCCTCCCTCCAACGTTCTTTTTACTAACCAGTGACAAAAAAAATCTTTACAGTTTATTTTTATTGGCATTTTAAGAAGTCTTGGACCATATATTAGAAAGCTGAAAAAAATGAAGATCTCAGGCTACATTTCTGAATTAAATAACCACTTTCCCTTTAAAAATGCCAAATATCACCCTAACCTAGAAGTGAGATCCCACGATCCATCTGTTTTCCCAAGTCTGTCTTAAATTTCTATACACATGTAACAGTGAAAATGTTCACTGCAGGGCTCTGATTTTCTCACTTACTCTTCATACAAGTCAGAAAAAGCTCCTCACCACCAAATTTCAGGAACCCATGTAAGGGCTTCATTAAGGTGAAACATTGTCAGAAAGGAAGACAGGCTGCTAAACATTGAGGAGCAAGAGCTGGAATGAGTAATACAGAACCTCATCTTCCCCGCAGCTTAGAACAAACTTAGCAGTTCCTGGGTGTAAAATGTTTACTTACTTTTTAGTTGGCACTAGTGCACAGGGAAGAGCTCTAGGAAAATTCCCTTGAGCAAATGAAGCTTTCTGAGAACTGGCGGGAAGAGCTTACCGTCATTTGTGGACATTGCACTGTGCCTGCAACTTCTGGTAATCAAATGGGTAAGTCTGTTATATATTGATATTGTAAAAAAATCCAAAAAGCAAGCAAATCAAACCCACACTTATGAAACAGCTTTTATCCAGCGTAGCAGCTGCAGCTTTTGCTCTGCTCCAGCACTTGCATTGCCCTGCAATGTGTTGGATGTAGTCTGATCCTGACAATTTGTAAGTTACAGCAGCAGCACCACATGAAAGCATAAACTTTGCCTGAAACTTGACAGGAGCTTTTATGGTCTGTTCAATTGGCTCTTGTTCCCTTAAATATCCCAGCTTTTGAGCTCAGTTAAACTGGTTGCCACCCGTTTCCTGCACTTTGAAATGAAACAGTTAATTAATCCGGGTTAATGGTATTAGCAGGGTCTATTACAGTACTTAAGGTAATGACACACAGCTGTACTGTGCTTCTGCCAACACCTCCTCCAACAACCACAGTTCCAGATGTGAAGACAACTCCCAGCTGTCCAAGTGCCAGCACTTTTACTGCTGAATGCTGTTCTGCACAAACATTTAGGCTAGAAAGCACAACTTAAATTTTAACAGGTCTTCTTCTTTTCAGAAATAAGAGTTTCAGTGAAAGAATTAATTTTTTTTTAAACAAGATGGTTAATTTTGGACAGTTTTGCTTCATTTCTGAGGTATCAGTTGTAGTCAGTTCACTCAGGAATCTGTAATAATATGGAGACACTGAAGAATCAGGACAATGCAGAAACAGCTGCCTGTTTATGTGAATCTGGTACTAGCATTTAATCATTTTACACTTTAAAAATCTACTATCTTTTTTTCTGGGTAGCTTGCTATTTTGTTAATTGCATAAATATAGAATCATAGAATCATAACAAGTGAGAAAAGCTTTTTGAATTTCCTGTACCCACCCTAGAGAAAAAGCAAGAACATTTTTATTAGACTAGACTGTGGTGCTATGCAACACCACTAGCATGCAGAAGGTGTAAATGAAGACAGACATGAACTGTGTATGAGATAACTTATTTTATTTATTCAATTCTCAACTTAATTTTGATGCTAAAAATTGGTCAAAGGCACTTCAAAGAAGGTATTTAAGAAACAAATCCATATGGTGACCATTCCAGACAAATCACCAACTTTTATCTGCCATTAGGAACACAAGTATCTATAATTGCAAAGTGAAACATTCACAGGTTTTAAGTGGAGCATACTGTCCAGCAGCAATATTTAATTCTTTTAGACTATTAACAACATTTGTGGAGTATTTTAAATACAATATGGTAAAACAAAGCAAATTACACTTTTGGAGTTCCACAGAAGATTTCTTGACAGAAAAAAGACAAAGACTGCCTTTCCCAGTGGTCCTGTATTGAGGGGTCTATTTTTATCTGTGCGTGCACTATCAGCATCAGTAACAGGTACAGCAGAGAAATAACCCACACTTTTCTGTCATACAAAGACAAAACACCCTGCTCAGATAACAAAGCATTTATAACAGGTCTATCAGCTACTTAAATACTGACATTTATACTTCTGCAAGCATGACAGATCAAATGGTAACAGCTGAAGAAAAAGTGATTTTTAATATACACCCCCACCAAAGCAAAGCAAAGACAGTGTCCTTAAAGGCAAAAGTACTGTGAAAAGAGCTTCCACAAAATGAGATGGTATAATCACCAGAATGTAATCTCTTAAATAACACAGACTGCAAAAATTAATTGGGAGTAAAAGAAGATTAAAATTGCTCTTTTTCTGCAAACAAAGATTAATACTCTCCTCTGCAAACAAACACTAATACTATCCTCTGATTAACACTAGTGATCAGAAAGTAACTTCTTGCCATTGTCAATCTTTCCTGAAGTGAAATCATATTAATCACTTTCTTAAGTGAAATCACACTTAACCACAAAGTTAAAATGTTATTCTGTCACACATGGGGACACTCCCACATACACTGCCTAGCAATTTCAAGAAAATAGTTCAAAAATTTTAGATGGGTAATTTAAATCACTGTGGTGCCAAGGAAAGCTTTTAGGTTTTAGAAAATCAAGAAACATCTTTCAGAAACCAAACCACAGAGAAATAATCTGCATGGCCTAAGTAAGCCCATGTAGCTGTGCCTCAGGAAGTCTCTCCATCTGAAATACAGTCTCCTTGGGCTGCAAAAATTCTCAAACTCAGCAAATACTTTCTCAAAGCACAAAGACCTGAGAGTGAAATAGCAGACTACTAATATTAGTGTAATATTGTATAGTATAGGTGGCTTTTGAGTCCTAGTAAAATATCTGTATTGAACTTGAATACCTGTATATAGGCCTTGCCTGGTAAGTCCCGGCTGTTCTTGATGGGCTGCAGCTGCGATGTCCTTCAGTGGGTGGCAGCTGTGGTAGTGAAGATAACTGGGATAAAAGGGGGTGGGCTGGCTGGTCAGGGAGGGCTTTGGAGGGGCCCTGACTAAGCAGGAAATGCATGCAGAAGAAGGAGTCTGTCCTGTGAAGATTTGCAGCCATAAGAAAACACTGAGGAGGTATGGGAGTTTAGAAATACGGTAACAACAGTATGGGACCCTAGAAACATAACAACAACAATATTGTACATGAAAATTATACTGTTCACATTCCAACCTTGTCCACTGAGGCTTCTGAAGGCAGTGAGATAGAAACCAATTATTTCAGAGGTATCAGCTCATGGTTATGGCAATACAATTCAACAGAGAACAACAGGTCTCTGTTATAATCACAGAATGTAAAACCTGATACTTTTCTAGCTTGTCTGGAAAGAAAAATAATTCTTTGCAGTGCTGTTATAAAGGCAAAAGAAATAGATTCAGAGGTCTATGCACAAGGACACTTTAGAACAAAAACTGACATTTGAAGAAAAGGCTGTTTATTTCTCCAGACAGGCCACCCATTTCTCACAAGGTAGTATGTCCTTAGTCTTACTCCCTTCAGAAAGGGAACTTGCTCCTTTACTTTTCCAGTCTCTCTGTGGTCCTGCACATTTTGTGGAAGGGGATATTCCCACCCTGCTCTGCTAAACCCACAAGCCTCAGCTGGGCAGCAGATATGAACTAGAACTGCTGCTGAGAAAAGGCTTCACCCTGAGCTCAGCAGTGGCTGGTTTACCTTGTTATCCCAGCAAACAACCTGTGTGGAGTTCAAATATTCTCCTTCCTCCTGTCCACCTGAAACATGCTGGGTGAAACTGGAAAGCCAGACACAGGATAGTCAGGGCAGTAAGGAACATGAAGAGGAAATGCTTCACAGGACAGCACAGGGCAAACACACGACACAAATCTGCAGAAAATATGCAGGATTAGTTCTGCCTGTTGTGGTAGAAAATCTTTAAATCCCTATGGATGAACTGAAGAAGAAAGAAATAAAGGAACCGTACAGTAGCTCAACAGATCTTTTACATGGGCTGAATTTACAAAGAGATTAGGTTGGGATCTCAATTTCATTTTGTAACTTCTTTAAGTATTCCTGAATATTTTAACTGCTTGTTTGAACAATGCTATTTGAGTTATCAATTCCATATGGATTTCACAATACAATTGGTTTGTGCTGCATGTGGGATAAACATTTAGCTCACAGAAGGAAGCACCTTTCAGCATGTTAACATCCACTGTCCTCTGGACAAGCATCCCTCTGACTACAGCAAACTGGAGACTTTCTCCTTTCTTCAACCAATGCAGTTTTAATGGTCTACTTAAGTGAATTAACATAAAATAAAGCTTGTGTCCCTATCAGTACTTCAGAAGCAGTGCTGCTCATAAAGACCAACAGATTTACCCCTGCAGGAACTATTTAACCAATACCTGATAGATGAGCTCAGCCTACATTCAGGCAGAGAAGATGCATGCAGCATTTCAACACCATGAGCTGTTTCAGTAATTACCACCATGCTGCAGAGCAATGCTCAGAAAGAAAGTAATGACTTTACTGTTGGACAACAGAAAGAACTCCAATCTGTACTAGAACTACCTTTGGAAAAAAAAAAATCCAGTACTTTATGGTAACATCATCTTCCAGGAACATCCTGAAGGACCAGCAGTAGTAAATAAGGCTGTCTGCTACCACTATGTGCCCTTTTAAAAACAAAGACTGGAGGTAATTAGGTTATGTCCAAATTCATCAATATGATGAAAGTGAAAAATAACAAAGATGAAGAAACTTCTGTTCAAGTGTGGAATAAAACACAACATGTCACGCTTAATCCCATTCTCCATACTGCTATTCACTCAATTTGAAAAGGAGAAAACCAGAAGGTTTTATATTAACTCTAGAAAACATACATTTGATCTCTGAGAGAAAAAAAAAAAAAATCAGTAATTAAAACAACTGTTTTGTCCCTCCCCAAGAAAGTGTTTCCAGTTAAAAGGCAGAGATACTTATGAAGTAGTGGAAAAAGTTAATGCACTTTTAAAGATTCCTGCATTCAGGCCTGCTTACATGAATAACTATGCACTTCAGCTCCCAAAACAGTAAAAAAAAGGATCATTTAACACTTTATGCTGAAAAAGGTAACAAGAAGCAGATACAGAAAAAAATTTTAAAGTGGAAGAAAAAAATGTTCAGAAAAGTGAAATTAGGTACTTCAACCAAATAAACTGGCTTTGGTGAAATTTTAAAATAGGACATTTCTCGATCTGAGGATTTTAACCTCTAGTGAAAATTAAAATGGAAACAAACTAATTATAATAGTGGCTGAAACCAAGTTGTTACAATGCAACTTCACTAAGATCCTATTCTTCCTAGTTTATGTGGCCGGTGGGATGAAAGAATAGAAAACAGACTTTTATTTTCAAAAGCATCTACCTTAGGCTGAGAAATGCTAAGATGAATTTTTATATCCATTCAACCAAAAGGATAAGTTAATAAAACTGAAAAAAATTAAAAGAGCCACAGGCAAATATGTAAGCAGCTTGCATCACCTCAGCAATTTAAACTACAGCAGCTGTTTCTGGTTTCTCTCCAGAAGAGTATTCCTCCCCGAAAACTTGATATTGTTTTCCACAACAGAATTTAAAACTTTGTAAGTAATTCATAGCAGTGAATTCTGTTTCTCAAACAATTCAGATTAATCTTGTGGGTGAAATTCTGCCACTCTGTTGTTAAGGCAAAGCAGACTGGAGAATCTAATTCCATGTCTCTGCCTTACTTTTAGGGCAAGATACAGAAAGTAACTTCAAGAGGTTGAGAATATTTCAGAAAGTCATCATGATCAGTTTGACTGGGCAGCATCCAATTTCTAGTATTAGAACTGACTTAATGGAAAGGAAATAGAGGAGAACAGAAATGGGGTACAATCATCTCTGAACCTGTCCACTATGATTTTCATACAAATTCTCCCAAATATTATTGTAGCAGAGCAACCTCCAAATTCACAGCTTTAGGGCCCCAAATCTTTGTGGGCAGAGCTGCAAGGTCACATCCCAAGCAGTCAGAGCCAGCACCAGACTCTACTGTACACAGGGTGACTGGAAGTGCTGCCAACTTGATTTTTGAAATAAGAATCGCCAGGAGTTATTTCAGTCCGCAAGCTTCATGCACAAGTTTGAGGAGACTCTTACTCATGGTACTGCCTTCTTTTTGGCTTTTTCAAACTCCAATTAGCTCTCAGAAGATTTTTGCTTTAGCTTTTGATCATTCTCAAGTGCTTCATTTTTGCTCTGCTCTTCTGGATTCTTTGATGAATCAGGATTGTACCTATACAAATACCCATATGGACGAAGATGATAAATCAAATATTCCAAATGATACATAGTCACAGAGTCAACATAGTGGAATGAAACTGCTAGATCAGAGCAGCATCCAGGACCCTGAAACACAAAACAAAGGAAAACAATCAGCAAGAATTAAAGATCTGGGGAGAATTCAAATAAATACTTGATTTAATGGTAAGAAATCCACTACTATCAGTCATATGTACACTTCAAAAGTTAATGTTAGGCAAGCAAAATGTACCAGACATATCTGCCAAGGCATCCTTCCAAAATGAAGCTGACAAAGTCTCTTGCTCCTGTGATCAAGCCAGTGAAAAAACTAGCTGCCTTCATTAACGTCAGAGGTTTTCTGCTTTTCCATTTTTAATTTTTGATGCTGGGGTTTAAACAGCACAAAGAAGCAGCAAGCAGGCCTAAATGAGTAACATTTATACATGAAACAATAAATGCCTGTTACTTATGTCAGCATCCAGACAGAATGTATAAATAAAATGTGTGTGTACCTGCACCTGTTTGTGTTGACATATTATACACTTTGGCATTATTGTCAGTATTTAACTTCCTACTGACAAAAACCTGTAACAAGTAATTGCAAAATTTTGTTTTAAATGTCTTGATTTCATTGATATTATTAAGAGCTATAGGATCGTTGTTAACACATTTGTCACAACTTATATTTTATAGCTCAAGTTTGAGAACACTTTCCTGGAGCACAGTTTTGGGGTTTCTTTTTTCAGCAGCTTTGATTGCAGAGTTGCTAATATTTCTAATCGAACTGGAACGAAGATTAAATATTTAAAGACACCAAAGAGAACAACTGCTACGTAACTGTCATTGTTTCAATACTTATGAAGGTTGATCAATACAGCTTGACTTTGTCACCAGATGCAGCAGTCTCTGTCCAAGCACAGGTAGGACAGGCCAGGACCACACGGGCAATTTCCATTCTGAATCAGTTACAGATGGAACTGTCCACAGCTCAGCCCCCCAGCACTGCAGCCTTAGCTAAAGCTGCTGCCTCCTGACACACTAAATACAGTGTCATACAGCTGCTTTAAGCTACAGAAATGCTTTAGCTGCTGAATACAAGTATAAAAATAGATTGCTGCTTTACAATGAAAAAATCTACTGAAGAACCAGACTCTTTTTCAGCTTTAATATGTAAAAATTCCAAATACTGTTTTTGAATTCTTTACCTAATGCTAATTCACACATCACACGCTCACACACATCATAAGATGCACTTGACAAAATGGACACCAGGCTCCTCAGGACTCACCTCTACAGCAGGATAGTAATTGTAGTTCCAGTACCAGAATGTTTTTGGTAGGTATCCTCTGATTAAGTGATGTTCTGGAACGAACGGATGAAAGGTTTCTCTGCCACTCGTATCCCTAGAATCTCCTGCTTCCACATTGATGATCTCCATGCATTTTCCTAGTGCCAGATCTTCAATAGAGGAACTGTGAGTGCATTTGTTCGTTTTAAATGCAGCAACAAATCTCTTCAGAGCTTCTTTGCTCAGAACATATCCTGCTCCTCCACTCATGTAGCCCTGTTTCACATAAGGCTTAAACCTTCTCCCAAAGTATATTGGCTGGTCAGGACTGTATTTTGAAAGAAGCCATCTCAAATTGTCCAATATAACATATGTATCATCATCTGCTTTCATAAACCAATCAGCATCATCAAAATAATGGTCATATACATATTGAAAAGCTTTAATAGTCTTCCAGTACAGTTGATCCCTGCCTTCTTTGGTTTCTAGGCCCACAGCTGGGAAGTCTTTATTTTCCTCAGAGCTCATAAAAAGTACTTTATTACAGCGTTGGGCCCAAGTGGCCTTAACATGCTTGGCTTTCTTTTCTAGATTTTGAGGTCCAGTCATGACCCAGCACAGTATTTTCACTTTGTGATACAGTCCTTCTGCAATATTTTTATCTTCATCTAAAAAAAAAGAGGAAAGTTGTGAAACCATATTAGACATGACTGCCAAACAACTAACAGCAACATCCCCCTCCTCAGATACTCTGTTTCTAGACAGAAAAGACATGCAGACAGAAAAGAGGCTTTTGCTTCCAAATGTACCAGTTAATGAACTCCACACTAGATTCTGGAAGGAAACAAACAAGACTCTCAAAGATTAAAATTCTTAAAGCTATTTCAATTTCACAAGATAAAGGAGAGTGTAAGAATTATATCAAAGCAAGTGTCTGTTCAGGGAAGCGTGGTTTTAGCAAACCTTGATTTCTACATAAAAACTGCTCACAGGCAACCTCTTTATGGTCTTGGAAGACTAATGAAAATTTTAAAACAGAGTATTTTTGCCATTCACAATGAATACAACTTAATTATTACAACACAGAAAGCAAATAAGCTCTTTTATATATATTCATGTTAACAAAAAAACCCTAATGAATATTTCTAAACCACCAAAATGTGTTTTAGGAATAAAGCAAACAGTAAACCAGAAATAATTTATCAGATTAAGTAATTTATGATATTACGAAACTACTGTTATTGTTGATAACACATTTTTATTTTCACCAATCCAGCAGAATAAAGACAGTTATCAGAGGTGTGAAACAATGTCTTTCAAAGCATTCATTGCTCTTAAAGAAACATTTTCACTTGATACATACAGAAAGATTTTAGCTCACATAAAAGAATATTTCATGGACAGTGAAATCTGCATAACTGGTACTAAAATATTCCTGCTTACACTTTATGCAACTATATATCAGACTTCTCTGTAACAGTGTTCTACAATCACATGTGAAACACACACTCATCTTACAATGCTTGGAGTTTAAATATGTCTAAACTCACAATTCCTTACTAACATCTTCAACAAATGCATGGCAGCGCAATTGTTCTCATCCAAGCTGTCTCTACTCACACACTCTCTGTATTTGGGATTTAGAATGAACTCATTTAATGAAATATATAAAGTGCAAAAGTATTCCTGAAGTATTGGAAGGGTCTACCTTCCCTGGAAAAATAAAAATAACCAGAGTGCAAGAGAATTTCTCTGGCTTTGACTGCAAACAGCAATCTGTGCCTGGACTGCTGTGTAATCAGCTTGGCAAATCATGCCCACAGTGACTCCCTTTGCCCCCCTGTTCCAAATCTGTGTTTTACTAATTGTACCAAAAAGCAATTTTTAAAAAATTGTATTTTGGCTTTATCTTAGAGGCTAGATCAAAAGTTAGAAGTTGTCCAAAATTAGCTTCTTAAGGCTAAGAAGCAATCCAGCCACATCTACAATGCCAGCAAAGATAGCTGCTTAGCCAAACTGCCATTTGGTGTCAATAGCTCATTTGAGAAGTTACTGCTCCACAAGGCTGGATGCACAAGTTGGACAAACAGCTGGACTCTACAGGAAAAAAATTACTACTGTAATAAAAATGTAAACAAAGAAAACCACCATTCAGTAGACCTCAGGAGAAAAAAGTTATTTAGATGTAACCTGAACATGAGGAAACTGAATAAAAATGATTCATATAAATTCTTGGCAGTGAAGAGCAATGTTTTGCAATGCATGAAAAGAGAGGACATTTGCTAACCAGCCAGGTGTAACAAAATACCTTTATGCTGTCCAGCATCTGCATTGAAATTCATTTGTCCTTGCAGCTGATTGTTGTCAGTATCTGCTGAGTGCTGACCATGTGGATCATTGTGAAGAACATGAGGCTGGATCTTAACCTGTTCTTCTAGTATAATGCTGAACAGAAGGTAGCAGACAAAAAATCCTATTGCTGAGCCGAAAGTGAAGGTCAGAAGGTTCATCAAAGACTTAGAAGAGGCCATCTCCTGAAGGTGACACACTGTCAAAACCAAATGAAAAAAGTACATTAGACTCAACATAGTAATCAAATCTAAAACTATAGGAAGAAATCAAGAACTAAATCTCTGAAAGCAGAGAACTCAGCTCTAGCTTAGTTTCAGCTGCCTCGGGCTTGCACAGAAATTTAAGTCCAAGAGCAATGCAAATATCAATATAAAATTGTACATCCATTGAGAGTGGCTGTACATAAAAAAACTATTAATTACATTTATACAACATTTAAACAAGAATGTATAGACTGAAGTGCAGTAGCTTTATAAAACTGTAATATACATACACTTTTTTATTCTATTTTATTCTCAGCCTACAACACTGCACTTTAAAATGTAATACCTGAGTCTATTATGAAGCTAAAAGATGATGATCAATGGCAATCTACAGGTCAAGATACAAAATGGTCACAAGATGTTCTTAAAACTCCAGCCAAATGTATATTACAGGAATTCTTAACATACGTCCATGACCGGCAGATTTTGAAGAGTTATAAAAGAAAATCTACTCTTAAAGTAGGGCAGTTGTCCTTACACTTTTAGGAATTACTGAGGATTGACTTTCAGAAAAAAGAGTAAGGCAACATTTGAATTTTCATATAGAAACACTAATCTTTCAAAGGAAGAGAAGAAGCAAGTAGATCAGCCTTGAAGCCTCTTCTACACTTCAAAAACTTTGTATTCCAGTAATAAAACACCCCTTCATATCAGCCACATCCTTGCTCCTCAAAAACTACAGGACTTCACTGACCATTTTTATTAAACCAAATCAGCAGTTATACCTGCATAAAGGGAGTTCTGTGCATCAAAAATGAGTGTGAATTTTAATATATGAAACACTTGAAAACAAATTTCAAGTTGTTGAAGGCTTTTCATCTTTGGAAAAAGTTATTTTCTAATAACTCATGACTAAACTACAAAAACATTGACTAATAAATACACACTGAATTCAAGCCAGAGCCTTACAAACAAGTCAATGATGTTCCCTCCATTAGGATCATTATTAATGACAGTGAGCAGAACCCAATTTAGTTCATGAGAGAGCCCAAAAAAGAAAATTATGGACTGCACAGAGCATCGATGAAAACCATCGATCAGAGAGGAGCTGCAGCCACCAAAACAACTCATTTAGCCCGCAGCCCCTCCTCTCGCTGCCTGGGCACGTACTGGAAACAGCCTGTCCCCAAGCAAGCGGCATCAATCACTGCGCAGCAACACACACTCCAAACTCCAGCTTTCTGTCTGCTCTCCTGTCTCCTGAACACGTGTGTGCATCTTGTTGGGCTGGCACTTTCAGAAATCCATCACATTCACTGTACACATGCAGATCAAGAACATTTGAGAGTGAAGCAGCTCTTACATGTGGTAATGCTTTTCTTTCCACGCTGCTAGAAAAAGGAAAGAAATTTGAAAACGCAACTCAGAGTACAAAATAAAAATCAAGGAGTGTACAGGGCATATATATATATATAAATTATTATAACTGTGGTTGATAAGGAGCTGTAGTTCTTTAGTATGAACAAGCACATTAGGCAATTTTTAAATTGCATACTGTCTTCCCTAAATTCAGTACTACATCTTAGTGGAGACAAATGATTGCCTTTAGACATCATGTCACAAAGTAAAAAACTTACTGTCTAATCATTTGTGACCCAGACCTTAAAAAAATTACTTGGTTGACAGCTTTATTTCCAATGTCTTGTACACAACTAAATTGAGAAGAAAACATAAATATTTTTATCAGGTACCCAAAACAAAAAAAAGAAAAAAAGCCCATGCTCACAAGCAGCCTATGACAATGCAAAGGATCTGCTGTACTAAGATTATTTTTGTTTGTTTTTGCTTTCCCCATCTCTCATCACAAAGTCCCCTCAAAATCTGCAATATACACAGGGAGATGGCCAAAATAAAACAATGCCTTCTTTTGGTACATTCAAAGTGGGGAAATATATAAACCCATACATGCCCACAGGGTACCTATACCACCTTCTAGAAGAAAAGGTTTCCACTGTTCTACTTTCCAATATTAGGTGTTTCTCTGTCATACAATTTCAGTTATCTGCTCCAACAGCTGTTAAAATTACTCTTGCTAGGAGAGAAAAAAAAATGAAAATAACTTGAAAATAATTGCTGCTCATTTAATTATGAAATTATGTACAACTGAATTCCATAGAAAAAAATTAAATGTGCTGGAAATTCTGAAAAATGGAAAAAGCACACCCATCACATGGGAAATCAGAAGCTGATTTGGCAGTACTTCACACACAAAGAGGATTTCTTGGGGCAGGTAGTAGCTGTATTTCATATTTGATACCAAATGCCTCTAATTACAGTTTTCAATCTAAAATAATCTGCTTATCATTCTATCAATTTTATACCAAAAGAATGGGTCACTATAAACATGTGTGGATGTACATCCATATGTCTATAAACTCCAACAGTAAACAGGACAGAAATTTTTCATTTTTTATGAAAACTTGATGTTTCACATAAATTGAGTATTTCAACTTGACAGCAAAAATAACACTACAGCATTACACTAGAGGAACCAGAAAATGCCTAAAAGGAAGGTCAGTTGTCAGATGATAAACATCCCCACTCCTTGCTGATATTCTCTTCTACACACATATTTATTCTGGGGGAAGACAAGCAAAACAATAAAGGCCAGGCTGGATGAGGCTTTCAGCCACCTGAGCTAATGAGAGCTGTCCCTGCTTATGGCAGGGGGTTGACTTTAAAAGGAGTTGGATGATTTTTAAAAGTTCATTCTTCCTTCCAACTCAAACCATTTTGTGTTGCTACAAGTCTATGACATTTAGAGAAGGAAATGTCTATTTTTACTTTTTGAGTTAAAAAACACCTACAACAAAAGGCTAGGTTTGATTTTAATTTATGCTCCACTGCTCTATCATGGAAGCTTAAATAAATACAGATATTTAGATATTCATGTAGGTAGCCCTATTCACATCAATCAAAACAAGAAATACTTTCAAATTCTATCACAATGTAAGAGTCATGGAAGATTCGGTTCTAAATTTAGTTTTCCTGAGTCAACAATTTCTACATCTTCAAGCTTACAGAAAAACGATTTTTCCTGTGTTAGGGGCTGCTGAACCTGGCAGCCCACTGACAACAAGGCTGCTGCAACTCCATGTGCCAGATCCAGCCAGGCTGAGGATGTATTCCCAGAGCTGTGCATGCAAAGATGCAAATACACATGGCTGACCACAGAGATCAGCACAAATAAAAGCAAGTGTTCATGCAGACACAAACATAACATAAAAGTGTTCAGGCAGACACAAACATGGCCTGGCCTTACACTGCTCCTCCCCACAGCTGCCCGGGACAAAGGCCTGCTGCTGGGGAATATATACACACAACGTGGATCGCTCTGTACCTGGTCTCAGACCCTCAACCTAGTCAGCAGCTGAGCCTCAAATCCTCAGACCCCCCCCAGAGCCCTGCTCCTTGTCAAACTGACCCTCTGATCTCACTGGTACCTGTCCCACGCTCACAGCTGCCTCAAAGCCTGGCTCCCAAGCCTCTTAATCCTGCTCACTGCCTGGCCCTGTGTGATACTCACGAGCAAGCACAGGCCGGCATCCTTGCCAAGGCTGTGCCCACGCACTCCACTCTCCCTGCTAGGGGCACTGCAGGCACACGAGCCCCTGTGGCTCACAGCTCCTGGGCATTAGGGCCTCGCTCACTGCAGTCCCTCCAGCTGCTGGCACAGAGATCCCTACAACTTACACCATCTCCAGCATCACTTAGAGCTCAGTATGCACACAGAATAGGGCAGAGTCCTCTGGCCCAGCAGAACAGCTAGAAAGGCACCTTAATGAGAAAAGGGGACACACTGTGGCAAGCTGGCCTAGGACACAGTCAAACAGACTGACCAGGCCCTTTTATTTCCCCATACTTGTTCCTCCTGAAACCACCTTCCTCTAGCCCCTCCCAGGAGCACCCCATAATTTTGTGCAGTCACAAGACGCTTTTCTCTTGCATCCCATGTGATCCAGGTTCCCTAGGCAGTTAGCCCTCGATCTTGTGAGCTGTTCCCGAGAGCCCTCCTGGGGACTGCTCTTGCTGCACGTCACACATGGGCAGTGGGGCTGGTGGCTCCCCAGGGACAGCCCGGGGCTGACTCCTCTGATGCCACTGTGCCTCTGTGCACCCTGCTGCTGAGCCTTCCAACACGCTCATCTCAATTGCTGCTCTCACCCTGCTGCTCTGATAAGGGCTTTGGGTCACTTCCACAAGCCAATGGAAATTTAAGGGAAAACCATGCAATATGAGTACATAGCAAAAGCTTGACCCCACCACCAAAAGAACACCACTCAACCACTTTTAAAATTAATACTTTTACACAAACTCAGATGAACTTGGACCATGTACAGAAAAACATTAAACAAAATACCAAACAAACAAGTGGAAATACCCCAACCCCAAAACATAACGAAAAATCCCCCAAAAAACTCCCTTGCCATCATATCTGGGATATTGAAATTTACAGAATGCCGAACATAACTCTAATTTTAAACACGTTTATCCCACTATCATTCCATAATCACTTTAAGATTCGATTACGTTAAGCCCACATACAGGGCCGATTATTTCTTGTATCCCTTCCTTAGGAATCAAGGGGGAAGCTCTGAGGCCCCACGATGAAACAATGTAAATGTCCTTTGAGACCTCCATGATCAGCAATGAAATTGATCTCTATCACCACATCCTTACCAGCCAAGCAACACACCAGAATAATTCGACCAAAATGTAGGAAAAAACAGCTAGCTGTGCACACACCTTTTGCTCCTGAAGTCACATTTATTGCCAGTTGCTCTGTATATTCGTATGCTTCTGAAATGCAGCTAAATGCACAAGTTGTGCATTCGCTAATGTTGTCTGCATCTGGGATTTCTGTGAGCCTCTGCAGTTTCCCATCGACTAAGCACAGATCGTATCCTTCCACTTCAAATATCTGATATTATAAGCATTCCTTTCAAATTAATTCCTGCTTGTTCTACCAGAAAATACAAACCATCAAATTAAGCTACTTCGGCATAGGAGGCCAACAACCACACTGAAACGAGACGTGTAACAATCCACAGCACCGGGGAGCTGGAAGGAAGGTTTGGCTCCTCCTTCCTCATTCCAAAAGCTGACGCCGTCCTTCGGCAACAAGTGCCCGCGGCCGAAGCTCGGCTCCCAGC